AAAAAAAAAAAAAAAAAGAAAGCAATAATAATTTAAAAACCCCTTATTTTTACATGGCTTCTGTCAAAGTTTTCTTTCCTTTTAATTAAAATATAATTATGTCAAGTTTCTCCCTTCCCTTTCCTCCATCCAACTCCTCGTATGTGCCCACCCCCATTCCTGGCCTCCTCCTCTTTAATCTTTGACACCTCCTTTAAAGGACTTAGAGCTATATAGGAAGGAAAGCACCTGAGAGTGTGGTAACTGGAGAGGATGACCCTACCCACGAAGCCCTTTGCTGGGGCTGCCATTCTTCCCCTCCAAATCCCAGCCCTGATTTCCTGTGCATCCAAGGTCAAACCTTAAGTCTAGACTTGGTTTCAATTCCTCGTGACCCCATTTACTTCCACCACTCAGATCACGAATTTGCATTTGGAGATATACACATCAGTTCCGCGTACACAAACCCGCTAAGTTTGTGAGGTGTAAGGAATCAGATTCAATGGGACAGGCCTGTAATCCTTGGAGGGATTACAGCTTGGGAGGCTGAGGCAGGGGAATCATTCAAGGCCAACCTGGGCCATGTAGAGAGAAAAAAGAGAATGAGAGGGCAGAGGAAAAGAGGGGATGGAGAAAGGGAGAGGCAAGGACAAGAGGGGAGGGAATACAAGGAGGGGAGGAGAGGAGGGAAGAGGAAAGAGAGAGAGAGAGAGAGAGAGAGAGAGAGAGAGAGAGAGAGAGAGAGAGAGAGGAGAGAGAGAGAGAGAGAGAGAGAGAGAGAGAGAGAGAGAGAGAGAGAGAGAGAGATGCAATAGAGGGACAGAGAGAGGTCTAGGGACAAGGAATGAGAGGAGAGGAGTGGTGATGTCAACTGAGGTCACCTTAGAGAGTACAAAAGGTGCCACTTACGTGATGTCTCAGTCCACCACCTGTTATTTCTCCAATGCCTTTTCCCCCTGCGACTTCTCCCCCATCTACAGCCATTCTTTTCCCATCCTGTTTCACATCAAAATGGCCACTTTTCAAGTCTGGCTGTGGACACTCCTCAGAGTGTAGCGTATGATAGCTCCTCAATGTAGCATGTGATAGCTCAGAACCGCAGTTTTTACACAGACCTTCGCTGAATGTTTTTTATAGCTCCAACAGCTGTGCTTCCTAGTTTGAGCCCCAGGTCTGTGTGAGACCAGCAGCTAGGAAGAAGGGACTCCTGCAAAAGTGCCCTGGGAAGCTGCCTTCTACCTGGAACCTCTTATTTAGAGCAAAAGGGGGCTCCACACATCATGTGACAAATTATCTGGCTTGAGCACTGAGATAATAACCTCCATGCCAAAAGACAACCTGAACATGTAAACACTTGCCACACTGTAGAGGTCAGTGCAATAAACTCATAAGAAACCCCCGTCTCATGTATGTGTGTGTGTGTGTGTGTGTGTAGCTATTTCTAGTTTATGTGTTACAGTACCATGATAATGAATGCATATATCAGCCAGGAAAAGCCCATTACTTTTGCTGTTATTTCAGATTTAAGAGCAGTGCATTCTTCTTGTTTAAATGGATTTGGCCTCTGTCAAACTATGTATGTCATTTCTACAATAATATCTGGAGCCAAATGAAACAATGTCTATGGCATTCTAATGGCCTCTCCAGCGGTCTGCCTCCTCACCCCGGCCTTGATTTAACCCAGATCTCAGCAAGGTCAGCTGACTTCCTGATGCCCGTTTTCTGCTCCTGCACTCTGACCTCATGGCGAATTGATTTAAGTCAGTTGCTTTCCCCACAGAAATGATGTCATGTTGGACTTGGTCAGCCATTCTTCATTGGTACGATCCCCAGGACAACATTAAATCAGTTCACCACGATATATATTGCAACCATTGTGTTTTAAATATAGCAATCTACCTGTATATGCATACGTGAGGTGGTTAATACATTTTTTCCAGGCTTTGATAATTCTGCCCATTTTAACCACCACAAATTCTATCACCATGCTCTAGGTGGGGCTTCTTCTGACAGTTTAATGACATTTGAACAGACACCCAGTCACCCAGTCACCCAGTCACCCAGTTACATAACCACACAGCCACGCAGTCACCCAACCACACAGCCACCCAGCCAGTCATGAAGTAAGAGTGAAAGTAAGATATACAGAAGTAAGAAAAGGAAAAAGCCCAGAGGCAAAGGGTAGACAGGACAATTTAAGAAAAGCTGATCAGACACAAGCCAAGCTAAGGTGGGAAATTATAAGTAAGAATAAGCCTCCATGTGGGATTTATTTGGGAGCTGGGTGGCGGGCCCTCCAAAAGAGCAGAAAATAACCCACAACAGGTTGAGGTGGGTTGATCCATGGCTACTGCGCTGGAGTTAAGTGGCAGTGAGCAACTCACCTACGTCCTCTATGTAGTAGTACATCCATTGCACTGTGTGCAATCGCTGCATTTTCAAATTTCAGTAAGACAAAAATACAACTGGTAATCTACAAAAGTAATTCATTTAGAAACAAGCATGGCTCTCTGGGTGTCATAGCAGCCAGAGTCCTGGTCTCTTGGCTAAACTGGCACGTTTCCTCACTTAAGGACGTGACTTTTGCAGACAGTGGTTGGTCAATCAAAAAATACATACCTGTTTTCTATCATTTTTTTTATTATGATGTGGAAATATGGAAAGAAAAAAAAAAGAACCCTATGAACCTGTAAGGAGATTTTATTCCTTAATTATAAGGATAGCTTAAAGTACCTGGATTATTGCAGGGCCTGATATAAAATCTTGAGTGTATTTCTAATGTAAGCATTAACTTTTCCACCAATAAAATTAAGCTTCTTAAAGTCAGAATTACGCACACTCCACGGACTTTCAGCTGACATTAGTGGATAATGACAAGAACAATAGAAGCTGAGAATGGACTGATGAGCTAGACTACGCTCTAGCAAAAGTGGTCTGACTCCACAGTTAAGTTTTCGGTTTATTGTTGAAGAATTCTGCAGTTTGTACATGATCTAATATCGCAAGCACAGATGGATCAAATGCCGGGACATCTGTTTTCTAAATCTGGCTTTGATCCTCTCTTAAGGTCACTGGAGGGAAGTCCTTAAAGCATGGTAAACTTGCAGGGCTGGCTTCCTCCACGTGCAACACTAGCAGAGCCCTCAGCTATGGCGACAAAAATGCAGAGAACGTGGCGTGAACGAGCCCACAGTCACTATGCTTTCCCACATTTGCATCCTGCAGGCCATGGAACC